GCTCAGTCGGACCACAGTAAGAACAAACGTATAGAAAATGTTACGCCTCACCCAGTCAAAGGCATTGCAGGCTAGTTAACATCCTTCTAATTAGTGCAAAGCATCACACTTTAGCTAAAAGCAAACAACTTGTGAACAAAACACTTCAAAGTACTTTTAACACTTGTATATGTTACTTCTGTGCCATTTGTAATTAAAAAAAAAAAAAAAAGTCCACAAAAACAAAAGCAAAACTATTGCTGCCACATTATCTGAAAAATACTGTAAGTCTATGAACTGGTGATATGAAAACACGACCAGTTTTGTTCCTAAAGGCACCTTTCTTTGCAGGACAAAAATGATTCCTTGCATAAAAGTAAAACTCAAAAAGGAAAATCACTGGACTTATTGGCTGTCTGGACTGGTTTATGAAAGAAACAGTGTTTTTTTGTGGAAACAATCAACCGTGTTGCTTTGCCGAGAACAAAATATTTAACACTAATAAACCCACAATACGATCAGAATGGTTTCTCTTATTTTCCTCTTAATACACTTGCTAAACATGAACAAGCTTGTAGGTGTCTTCCAGAGGCCTACTGTCAGACCTAGAAAAGTATCAGGCAACAGAATGGTGACATTTCAGAAAGATCAAGCTGGACAATGTCCTTGCACTAAGCCTGGCTTGGTGAGGGCGCATTATTAGGCCTCCGTGACTGAATAGCCGCTCCACTGGTGCACTGGTGGCAGGAACAGCGAGTGCTCTCATAGCCACAAGACAGCCTCGGGAAGACTTTGGCATGCCTCTTCCACAAACCTAGTCAGCCTGTAAAACGACATCTCCAAATTAAAATGAATGCTGTTACCGACCCTTATGGAGCGTATATAAAGTTTGACCTTTGTTGTAAAGATAACACTCTCTAGTTTCAGCCACAGCAATCACAATCATTCCAGGTGCTACCAGTAAAACGTTTTTCTATTTCAATCATCACAGAAAAATATATTGTTTTGATCCTTGCTTAAGTTTTTTCTTGAAAATAAAGGAGCACAAAGCAGCATTAGGAGGTGGGAACTAAAACACACTGTGTGCCAATAGAAACACTTATAATGCTCTCATATTTCAAAACTGAAAACAATAAATGTTAAACTGATAATTTGGCACCAGTTTTTATACTGGTATGTCCATGCGTGTTATTGAGGGACTGTTGTTTTATCCACATCTATCCAAACTGGACACCACTGAACATGTCAGGAAAAAGTGCAATATCTGTTGAATGCTTGAACCTACAGACATCAGAGAGGGCTCTATTGAAAGCTTATAGCCAGAGGAATCCATATCTGGACACAGAGTCACACTATTAGTTATAGAAATTCATATTTCATCATAAACACTAAATAAAATATATATTTTTCATAAAAAGATATACTAAGACCAGATCAAAACAAGTGTTATGGGCAAGTTTAGATATATATTTACAATTCACACTAAAAACAAACACTGCAAAC